GTAGTGATTTACTGAACATTAGCGGTCTACGATGAAGGACATAAAATGACAAGCAGAAATATTGTATAAAAATATTTTCACTCATGTGTAAAGTGCCTCAAATATCTTGCTGTGCGTGTGTGTGTAACTGTGTATTTCGAGTACATTTGCACACAATCTCAGCTTGAAAGTATAACGCGGTAATCTTAGCTTTTACGTGTGCGTGTGTGTATTAATAGTATGTGTACAGGAAATCATAGCATGTGCACAAACGTATTATACTTGAGTGAATTTTGAGACCAAACGCACATAATCTTACTCTTTATATGTGCGTATGTAATCTTGGCATGCTTGTACGCAATCTGGTAATGTACATTGTGTGTGTATATGTCCACAATTATTATGCTTGTATGAATATCGAGGGTATGTACACGTACTCTTAACCTGTATGTGTGCGTGTGTGTAGTTCGAATGCCTGGTGACCTGTGGTGTAATGGTAAGCATGCTCACCTCGCAAGCGAGCGGACCCGGGTTCGATCCAGGGCAGAGTGAAACTATGGGCAAGTTTCTTTATACCATTTGCCTCTGTCTACCCAGCAGTAATTGGGAACCTGGATGTTAAAAAAATGCGGATCGTGTTCCGGGGTAATGGTTAGCCAGTGAAGTTGGTGAGCTGTCCGGTCTTTTCGGACTATTCCTTGACACTGGGTCATGCAGCTTGTTAACTCAGGGTGTGGTTGTTATGTTGGCGACACCCGTGTATACTTTCCTTTAAGTACAGTAGCTCAAACAACTATCTGTGCAGGTGGGGGTCGATATGCTCCGAAATTTTACGTGTGACTGGTGACAGCCCTCATATACCAAAATTTATCGTCCATGGTCTCATATTGTTTCCCACAAAGTATGCACCGATAGTTGTTTTAGCTACTGTACATGCTCACTTCCAGTGCATAATGCAACATGCTGTTAACCTTAGACTATATTCGTGTGAGTGACTGCATTATAAAACAAATTATTACCATGTAAGCATCTCAATCATTCGGTGATTGGCTGACAGCAAAACTGACGTCACTATTTATGACGTCATTCAAGAAGAAAACTAACATTACTGAGGAAGAACGGTGAAAATAAATCTTATTCCAAGCGGCTGTGATTAAATACATTTCATACATTTTCAGGCCACATATTACATCTTAAGCACACATGATAATTTACGCTTATTATCATTAGCAGAGATAATTCGATTATTGTTCGTCTCACTTGGAATTCTGAAGTTCATTCCGGTATTTATATTCCAACCGACAAGTTCAAACCTCAAACGTGGAAAGTAGGTGATACCGATAATTGTTTCGTGTAGACCAATGGTACAGTTTTATATTATCGACAACAGTTAACCTATTCTGAGGATGAGTGACCATAACAGTCACCGGTACGTCATTTAGTAACACTTAACAACTAAAAGATGAAATAACTACAGGTGAGATAACGAGTTAATTAAGTTGAGGTTGCCAGAGCTCACGAAAATTAGGGCAGTTTTGGTTAGATATTATTTTAGCTTCTATTGTTAAACTTTGAGAGAGAGAGAGGAAGAGAGATAGGAAATGAAAAATAAAGACATACAGAAAGATAAAGATCAGAAAGAAAAAAGAAAAGAGACAGAGAGAGACTTTCATCCTAACACATCGTTACCATATCACTCAGGACTGACAGATCCACCACATTAAAGTACCGTTGAAACCATTACCAAAGAGGGTGTTACTGTACGGCACTCCTCCTCCCCATCACTATTGGAGAGTTTGTGTATAAAGATCACTTTCTAAACCTGTGTTGAAATCTCCAGCCTCAACCCTAGTACCTACGAGTGCTCTTCCTCTCTGCCTCAGGGCTTGGTTGTCTGTCTGGACCATAAGTTTGAAGTGGGACAAAAATTTTTAACACAGTACAGACAGTGAGGATGAAGAAGCCGGCGTTGGTATGTATAATGTGTTGTGTGATGTGTATAAAAGGTAATTATTTTTGTTTCTTATTAACTTTTGTTCTAATAATTTACATGGAATATTTTTGTTTTATTATGATTTCGGTTTGAATTTTAATTGCTGTTGACGTGCGATACTTTAGAGAAGATTTGACATAACTCAGAGTAGATCTTATTTACTCAGCTTAAAGGAATGTACACTGTTGAGTAATTTTTTTTTTATTAATTACCCCTCCAAAAAAATTTAAATTTAATTCCCAACTGACCTATTGTAATGACGTCAAATTTCCTCGTCATGAACAAAACTATAAAGACCCTTATAGCAAAAACTATATAATCAACAGCGGATTGAACAAACAATCTTAAGTAACTTGATATTTGTAAAAAACATACAATACAACACACGATCCATAACATATCCAACATTTCGAGAAGAAAAAAAAATCATCGGTTATAACCCAAATTACAATACGAACATCTACTATCCATCTAAATATTTCACAAGATTTGACGTAAAATTCTAAAGTTGACGGACGGAGAAGCATGAGATATAACAAAAAATAACCTGATTAATGAATTTGGGATGTGTTTTATTAAGGTAAAAACAAATAAAAATAAAAATAAAATCTGACTAAGGAAGAACATCATAGTAACAAAAAAAATAACAGCATAATGAAAAAACAAATCACAGTACAGGAACTATTGGAGAAATGGAAAGCGCGCGACCCGTGAGGAGTAAACAAAACACGCAATTGGCCGCTGGCATAACTTTCTTCCCAAGACGAACAACGCTACTTAAGTTTACAGGAATCAAGCATCACTGAACACATTATTACCCCTCCCTATAACCTGACCATCATGAGTAAATCCTCCTGGAAATAATAAATCTGATCACGAGTTATTTGTAGTTTAGTAACAGTCACGACCTAGTAACAGACGAGGTAAGAGGGACGGGGGTGGATGGGGGGAGGGTGGCGTTACTAAGGGGGGGGGGGCGAATTACCGACCGTCTGGCAGGAGGCGAGACTCGGTGAAAGTGAAAGTTAAGTAGCTCTCGATTACCTGTCGCCCATAGCCTCCCCCTCGCCACCCATAGCTTTCCTTCTGCCGCCCATAAGTGACTAGTAGCCTGCCACCCATGATTTGACCATACCCCATATATGCTTAGCCAATTTCCTTCCTTATAGCCACTCAAAGCCCATGTTCAAACTGTTTGTGTGTGTGTGTATGAAAAAAATCAGAGAAAGTATATGCGAAAACCAGAGAAAGTATATGCGAAAGCAAGGGAAAGTATGTGCAAAATCAGAGAAAGTATATGCGAGAACCAGAGAAAGTATGTGTGAAAGTCAAAGAGTGTAATATCCATGGAAAGCAAGTGCGAAATTTTCAGAGAAAGTATGTGAGGAATTTAGTGAAACTATGTACTGCAGAACAGAGAAAGTATGGATGATAGCCAAGGAAAACAAGTTGAAAATTAAAGGTGTGTGTGTGTGTGTGTGTGTGTGTGTGTGTGTGTGTGTTTATACCAAAACCTAAAAATTTTGTAAATTAAGTAAAAAATTAAATTAAATCAATGAAGAAAATTATTCAAGTTTAAAAAAAAAACGAATCCAAACAAACTATGAAATCCAGACAAAATTGTAAAGAAACGGAAAAGGATAAAACGAGCGAAAGGAGAGACAGAGAGACAAACAGAAGGTAAAAACAAATATCTGACAGAAGCGGTACGATTAGATTAAGAAACGGAGAGTAATTAAAAAATACCACGAGAAAGAAGAGAAGAGAGAGACATAACCTCAGGACACACCCATAAAACAATGATGGTCTCTACCTCCACTCTCAGCCCTTATCTATGTCCTCCCCTCCTACCCTCCCCCCCTCCTACCCTCCCTCCCTCTATCGGTGGACGAGTGTAAGAAATGGTCCAGAAGGAAAAGCGAGAGAGCGAAATCTTTTAAAAACAAAATGAGACAAAGATAAATTGAAACCAAAGAGAAAATAGAGAGAAAGGTTGAAGAAAGGAAGAGAGACAGACGAAAATACCGAGAGAGAGAGAGAGCGAGAGAGAGAATGAACAAGAGGAAGAGAAAGAGAGAGAGAGAGAGAGAAATATTACCAATAAATTGCATTATATTCTGAAAATAAATTGAGATTGTAGGTAGGAGGTAAGAATGGGTATTAAAAAGATGAGTAGGGTAAAGGGATAATAGGGGAAAATAGGAAAGGTAATTGGGGAGGGAGTAATAGGTGTAATGGGGATAAAAGGGCGAATAGGGAGAGTTTGTGGTTAGGTTAGGTGGTAAAAGATAGGAAGTGAGGAGGAATGTATTTATGTAATGTTTAGGAATAATGGGGTAAGGTTTCTCTCTCTCTCTCTCTCTCTCTCTCTCTCTATGACGTCATGCGAGTAATTACCAGAAAGACGTTGAACTATGAATTATTAATATTATATTTTTTTTTAAGGGGATTAGCCCACCCGGGCACAGGTCATTGACCTACATCAGAGCCTGGAGGGCGTAATATAATAATAATAATAATAATAATAATAATAATAATAATAATAATAATAATAATAATAATAATAATAATAATAATAATAATAATAATAATAATAATTAATAAAATAAAATAAAAATATGATACTAATAATAATAAATAAATACAAAAATGAAAAAATCAACCAAGAGTGAGAAACGACAGTATGTATGTTGTGTTGTCAAAGTAAGAGAAACAATTGAGACCCTGCAATTGTGTGTAAATGAGGCAGAAAGTCAGATCAGCAACCTGGGACTTGGTCACAATTTATGTGATGCCATAGTTACAATAACATCACACACTCTTCGTTCAACTCTATCATTTACCTCCCTCACGTATTCTCTAACCTTCTCTCCCCTTTCTTATCTCCCTCTCCATCCCATCATCAATTCCTCCCTCCCAATTCCACCACCAACCTAACTTCAATATTAAAACTTCAGTATGAACCCTAAGGCTATTATAACATCCAATTCAACACAACCCGTCAATTGCTGTCTCCTTTCTCTTACAGCACAAGGTTTAGACAGCCCAGAGAGCCACAGACAGAAGAGACAGCTCACCAACTCCTTCGACCTGCCTGCCACAACAGAGGAATTATGTCTCAACAAAGGCAGCGAGGAGTTTTTCCGTCTACCTGATTTTAATGATTGTCGGGATGTGTTCAGGAGAGAGAGAGAGAGAGAGAGAGAGAGAGAGAGAATTAACTTTGAAACATTAACCTTGAACTTGAAATTTACCTTTATCTTGTTATTTGAATTTGATCTTCGCACACACACACACACACACACACACACACACACACACACACACACACAGAGTCCATTTTTAACACCTCCTTTTACCTATTTGAACCCCCATAAGGTCCCTATTATAAACGCCTATTAACCTATTTCAGTTTGAACCTGAGTCTATTCCTTCTGTGTCCTATTCTGTCTTTTTCAGTCCCTTTCACCCTATTCTGTTCCGTCTTGCTCCCTTTTCTATTCCTTTTGATCAATTTGGTCATATTTTAAAGTGCCCCTGACCTATTTTTTTTACCCCTTTTCAACTTATTTAATGACCTCGTTTGACCTCATGTGCCCACCAGGTGAAACAAGAGCAAGGTGACCTTTTCTACTGAATTTAAATCCGATCAAATCACATTTTAAGGCTCCGTGAATTTGTTTTTATCCCTTTTCAACCTATTTAATGACCTCTTGTGACTTCTAGGTGCGACAGGGGCGGGGTGAACGGGCCTATCCGCCTGGCAGCTGTGCGATGTCCGACGGGTCTGGTCTTTGACGTGGACAGGCAGGTGTGCGACTGGAAGCGACGCGTCAAGAACTGCGACAAACTGGAGAGTGAGTAAAATACACCACTGTTTTGTCCCTGTTGTCTGTTAAGGGGGTCTTCTGTTGTCTGTTGGTGGACTTCCGTTGTCTGTTGGTGGACTTCCGTTGTCTGTTGAGATTCTTCTGTTGAGGTCTTTTTTTTATCTCTTAAGGTACTTCTTTTGTCCATTGAGTCTTCTGTTTTCAGTTGAGGGACTTTTATTGTCTGTTGAGAGATTTCTGTTGTCTGATGATGGAACCTCTGTTGTCTGTTGAAGGTCTTCCGTTGTCTATTAAGGGACTTCTGTTGTCTGTTGAATCGTCTGTTGTCTATTAAGGGACTTCCGTTGTCTTTTGATGAACTTCTGTTGTCTGTCGAGGGACTTCTGTTTTCTGTTGAGGGGCTTCTGTTGTCTGTTGAATCTTCTGTTGACTATTAAGGGACATCTGTTGTCTGTCGAGGGACTTCTGTTGTCTGTCGAGGGACTTATGCTGCCTGTTATCTTCTGTCGTGTTGACGCGAGTGTGTTGTTGAATACAGCCCCACAGCCCCTTCACTAGCTGATGTTTTTGACACCAGAGAGAGACACCAGCTGACAACAAAACAATCTGTCCCATGCTTATGTAAACCGTATTTTAGACTCCCATATGTCCTGACCTCACAATACACTATGTCAAATATTATAGAAAAGTGCATTATAGACCCTCGTGTGTCCTGACCTCACAACAATACACAATTTTTCATGACCTCTTAACAATGCTTTCTCAAACACACGCTTTAGTGAGGCTTACTTCAGACACAACACAACACACACACTAGCGGTTCAAAATACACCTTATACCTCATACACACAACACATACTATACAATGTTGCACTAATACAAAATAAAACAAACATATGCCTCTACTACATACAAAAGATGATGTGGTATTATGAAACAGTGATCCTCAAGAGCTTTTGTTTTGCCATCAATATGTCATCTCTAACTGTACTTTCATGTCCGTCTGTGCTATTGTTTATGACTTAACCGACTGAGATGATAAGAGGTAATGTGCTTTGTCCCGAGCTTACAATACTGGAGTTCAGATTGATTTGTGTCCTGTTTAAACATCCAGGATAGGTTGGACTTGGGGTTAAAACATTAAAATCAGTAATATCGTAGAGTAACTCGTGTCAGGGTTGAAACATGTATCTTGTGAAGGTGAGGGTGAGGGTAAGTGAGTGTGGGTGTGGGTGAATGTTTGTGAGTGATAGGGTGAGTGTGGATGAGTGTAATTATGGTCTGAGGGCGAGAGATTGAATGAGGAGGATGGAGTGCAATGAAGGAATGTAGGGAGTGGAGGGCGGATGAAAGATCAGCTGCCACCAAACCACATTTCAATCTATGAAGAGGTCAACACAGTGCTACGCCCACCTGAGTCATATGAACGATTACCTGTTTATGTTTGAAGTACTAGATCGACCTTATAAACAAGAGTGAAATATTACCTTTCCCCTTCAACATATACGGCAATATAGTGTTATACCTCTTGGGTCGAATGGTCGTTTATCTGTATGAGTCATCAATAATGTTGGTCTTACAGTCAAATAAACAATAACACCCTCTTACACCATAAGATAAACACCAATATAATGCCACACTTACAGAGTCATATAAGCGAAAATCAGTGCATTACATAAGGGATTTTTGTCCTTATAGAGATCCGAGACAAATACCTTTCTTTCCACAGGATGAGAATATCAATTAGTTTATATTGGTGACTCGTCAAACTAAGAAATTGTTTGCAGTTTATATCTCAGAATTCGCGGGTTTACTCGGAATCATTTTGTGTGGAATTTCCTCTAGGACTTTAGCACACGACTTTACAAACTTGTTTTGATTTGTTTTCTCTGAAATTTCTTATATCATCACCACATATAATCATCTCATCTTATTTACACTCTGAAAGAATTATATATACTACCTTATTACCCTTATTATAATCCCTATCTTATTTACTAATCTTTTAACATTATTAAGACTTAAATAAAATATGAATGTTATAATATCCAATAACTCCAGAGTGTACTATTATTATTACTTAAAAAAAACAATTTAGGAATTTTACTTACAACTTCACATATTGACCAAGAGAGAGAGAGAGAGAGAGAGACAGAGAGAGAGAGAGAGAGAGAGAGAGAGAGCATTTGAAGGAGTAAACAAGTATGAAGTAACAGTGTGGGAGGCTATCATCAAGTGCTGTTGAGTAACTTCCTCAGCACACTCTTCACCAGCCCGGGGGAGGAGGAGGAGGGGGGGGTGAAGGTGGGTGGAAATGGAAGATGGAGGTGGATGTGGATGGGTGAAGAAAGGAAGGATTAAAGGTTGGTGTTGAGGGGGGGGGGGAGGGAGGGAGAGAAGGGCAAGTGAGTGTGGGTAGATGAGAAAGGCAATGACCAATCTGCCCGAACAAGACTGGAGTGGACGGCCGTGGTCCCCAACCCTCAGACCTGTTAACGCACCTTGATTGATTGATTGATTGATTGATTGATTCTCTCTCTCTCTCTCTTTTTTAAATATCAGAAAGTCCAACTAATCTCCTCAGTTCCTCTCCATTAGAGCCGCCCAAGCCCAAGCCACTGTTCAACACGGACGAACCAATCTGTCCAGCGAAACAACTAGCCTGCGGAGACGGCCTCTGCCTCGCCAAGGAACTCTTTTGTGACGGAAACGTCGACTGTGATGACGGGTCCGACGAGAACGCTTGCAGTGAGTTTATCGGGTTTGTGATTGGTTTTTGAGTTACTTTAGTGAGTCTGCCGAAATGTGATTGGCTTAAAGAGATTCTAACAACCGGAACAGCTGCGTTAATAGTTTTCATGTGAGCCCGACTTGGGGTTTTATATACAGTTAATACTCCGGATGGACCTTGAGTTGTCTAGGTAAACAAATATCCAAACACAAGCACATTCGCACACGCTAAATACATGAACACGCAGAACACACACACACACACACACACACACACACGTATGTTAATTTATCAATCATTAACAATGTTTCTACGCAGGTGTGGACGAGGACCCCAACAGTGCTCCCGAGTGTGACAAGCAGCAGTGTGTTCTACCTGACTGTTTCTGTTCGTCCGACGGCACGAGGATCCCCGGCAACCTAAACCCGACAGACACGCCCCAGATGATCACTATGACCTTCTCGGGCGCCATCAACATAGACAACGTGGACCTTTACCAGGAACTTTTCAACGACGAACGGAAGAATGCTAACGGGTGCCAGGTGAAGGCCACCTACTTCGTCTCCCACAGGTACACCAACTACTCCGCTGTCCAGGAGCTCCATCGTAAAGGTCATGAAATCGCGGTGTTTTCCATCAGTAACCACGATGACCCTGACTACTGGACTTACGGCAACTACGACGACTGGCTCACCGAGATGGCCGGCGCCAGGCTCATCATCGAGAGGTTCGCCAATATCACCGACAACTCAATCATCGGGGTCCGTGCGCCGTACCTGAGGGTTGGCGGCAACACCCAGTTCGAAATGATGACTGATCAGCTGTTCATCTACGATGCTTCCATCACGGCCCCGCTGAGCAGTGTGCCTCTCTGGCCCTACACCATGTACTTCAGAATGCCACATAAGTGCCACGGCAACGCTCAGAACTGTCCTTCCAGGTCCCATCCAGTCTGGGAGATGGTCATGAACGAGCTCGACCGTCGGGACGACCCCGCCTTCGACGAGAGACTCCCTGGTTGCCACTTCGTCAGCTCGTGTACCAACATCCGTACCGGGGAACAGTTAGCCCATTTCCTGGAACACAACTTCAATCGTCACTACAACACCAACCGCGCGCCTCTGGGCCTCCACTTCCACGCCGCCTGGCTAGAGAGCAACAAGGATTTCAAGAAAACCCTCATCAAGTTCATAAACGAGAAAACCTCCCAGAACGACGTTTATTTCGTCAATCTACTGCAAGTGATCCAGTGGATGCAGAACCCCACAGAAATCGCCGCCATTAAGGACTTCGCCGAGTGGAAGGAGAAGTGTGACGTGAAGGGTCTTCCACATTGCTCTCTGCCCAACTCCTGCGGCCTCAAGAGCCGAGAACTCCGGGGCGACACCCACAACCTCTTCACCTGCATGGACTGCCCTCGCAACTACCCCTGGCTCCTTGACCCCACCGGCGACGGCCTCGACCTCGTGTAAACCTACAAAATGATCATGCTGAGACAGTCACAACTACTGGCTGCCACACCCACAGGAGACAAAACCCCCGGTCGTGTTGTAATGATCCCCCCCCCCCTCCCAATGTGGTTCATCCCAACCCAATCAGTATAGAATCTAGTCCTTTATTGAGGGGCCTGGTGCCTGATCCATTCATTGTTCACACACCTACCTAATACCTCCCCCACACTCCGGTACACTGAACAACTTTGCACTTTCGCATGAACTGTTTACTGGTGAATGTTCCCAAGAGGTTTGGAGTTTATTTACTGTCACATGAACACAAGACTCAAACCTGTTGTTATTGTACTGTACTGTCAGCCCAAACCCAGACACTTTCACAATAAAACACCTTTCACTACACTCACAGTCAGTCACACTAGCTTAGTCTTTTATTCACGTCGTACTACAGTTCCCATTTCCTTAATTATGTATTAATTCTCTCTTCCTTACCACTAAGTTCATCATCTTTTTCCACCCTTTTTCTTTTCTCCTTCTTTTCTTTATTAATTTGAAATATATTCTCTCTCTCTCTCTTGATCTATTTCACTTACTTTCTCTTCGCCTTTTCCTCCATTCCACTCTCTCGGATCATCAATATTTCTGCACTTCCTTCCTTACATATTCCTTCTCTCTCCTCTCACCATTGTTCCCATTTTTCTCCCTTTGACTCTTATCGTCTTTCACTTCTCCTACTCCCTTAACCTTTCCCTCTCGCCTTCATCTCTCACTCATCTCCTAAGACGCGTCATTCTCTCTCATACGTCTCTCACTCTCTATCTTCTCCCTCACCTACCTCCCTTTCTCCACCCTCACCTCTCACCTTATATCTAGCCTCACCTCTCACATCCCCTCTCCACCCTCACCTCTCACCCTCACCTCACATCCCCTCACCTCTCACACCCCCTCTCCACCCTCACCTCACATCCCCTCTCTACCCTCACCTCTCACCCCCTCTCCACCCTCACCTCTCACTGCCTGTTTTACTTACCATCGTGTAGGTCTTTACTTAACAACTAAGTCAATTTCTAAATGTACGATTCTTCACCAACCACTTATATGATTTCTAAGTGTGTTCTACTTAAATGGTAATTCTTATGGGCATTCTCTTTGCCACTTAAACGATTTCTACTTAAAATGATTCCTCATGTTTATTACGTATTTCTGAAAGTGGTTTATAAGTGTTCTAATTAAGATAATTCTTAAGCCTATTTCACTCTCTACTTAAATCGACTGATGCAAGTGTTCTACAAAGGAAGTTTCCAAATGTATGCTACTTAACACTTATTGATGCTTAAAGTCGTTCCACTCACAAGGTCTTTAAGTACATTCTGCATACATTAAATTTAAGGGTGTTTTAATGAGTCATTTTCTAAGAGTATTCTACTTACTACTACAAACAGTTTGCAAGTGTGTTTCTATAATATTGAAGTTCATTTATAAGTGTATGTTTTAACTCATAAGGATAGTTTAATTTAAGTAGTTTGTAAGTGTGGTGTAATAAATCAATTTCTTAGGGTAGTCTGATTACTTTTGTAAGTGTGGTGTAATAAATCAATTTCTTAGGGTAGTCTGATTACAAACTTTTGTAAGTGTTTTATATGTACAATTTTCTAAATGTTTTCTACTTATAAGTTTCTAAAAGTATTATTCCTAAACAACTCGTAAGTGCATTCTAACTAAAACAACTAAAAAGAATATTCTACGAATCCCTTCAGATAATTTCTAGGTATGATTTACTTAAAATAATCCAGGTATTGTATGTCCTACTCGCCACTTAAAACCAATTCTAAGTGTTAATTGTTCTTCTCACCACTTAGAAACTACCTAGCACCTCAATACCGCCTTAAATGCTATTATCAAGCTGCTGTTTACTACTTAAATGACAAGCTCCAAAAAATTAATTCAACCATAAATCCTGTCATAACAACTACATAGGATAATTACCTTGGGAGGAAAAATCGTTTCCTTTACTACCAAGAAAGAAAATTAGTCTTGATATTAAATGAAATCTATTTACCTACTGTGTAAACTACGACTTGATAAACGGTGCTCATTAAACTTAACAGCAGCGGTACAAAAAAATACCAAAATGATCTAAATTCACTTAAAAATGGAGAAAAAAAATATTACGATACAAATTATTCGTAAGTTATTTCCATATAATATTAACTCACGTTTAACTCGATACCAAACATTCATACTACGACAAAAATCGCTTTCAATAAATAATCTCTTGACATTTACGAACACTCTCCTTTTAAATCCGTTTACACTAGTATTAAACACCGTGTACAGTAATTCCACTCAGCATTTAAGCATAAGTATTTCACTGTTGCCTTAGGTGGTGTCTGTCCTATGGTTAAAGCCTGGAAATTGACCCTTATCATTGGTTAGGTCATTTAGATATGGACAGGGGATTAACCTCTACCAATAGCATGTCTGGTCTTTGATTACAGCCAGGCTATTTATTCTTAATCGCCAGTACAGTCATTAGATAGATATATCCACCCCGGTGTCATAGAGCCGGCATATATTTCTTAGAGATTCGCCCCTTGTAACAGAGCCAGAGTATAAACAGAGCCATTTTATCTAGGAAATATAAAATGACTTCAAACTCTTTTATTATACCTAGAATCTGAACTGATAACATAGCCAAAGTGTGCCCTTTAAATATGGCCAATTATCCTTCAAATATAGCCACTGTGTCTACATATATCCTCAGTCTAATATGTGCTTTAAACAGCCAAGAATCTACCCAGTAAACATAGCCAAAACCTGCACTTTAATAGCCAGAAAAGGCCCCTTAAATAATAGCCGGTCTACCTTTTAAATATAACCAGGATCTGCCCTTTAAATAGTCAATCTACCCTCTACAGCTACTTAGTCTACCCCCTATCAATATACCTACAGTCTGCCCTAGAAATATAGCCAGACTCTACCCTTTAAATATAGTCAGTGTCAGGTGTTTGGGTACAGGTATAGGATCTAACTCATTAAATATAGCTATATGTTTGCCCAGTTTGATGTAGGTAAGATCCTTCTCCCGTTAGTTTCTCAGTAAAATATCCCCAAATTTAGCTTATTGCCGTCCATAACTGTAAGGCAATCAGTCTCTCTCTCTCTCTCTCTCTCTCTCTCTCTCTCTATTTCTTTCACTTTATTTTACGTAATGATTTCGCGTTTGTTTTTGTGTTTATTTTCTGAAGTTTTAGAATGATACGAATCTAGTTTCCTTTTTTTCACCGGTTTTAGTGTGTTTTCTTATCCGGTGTTTTAATTCGGATGTTTTTTTGATATATATGAATTACCTTCTCGACATTCCTATACCAAGTTCGTTCTACCGTTTTCAATACATTTCTTATACACTAAAATCCTTTCAATTTCATTATCTAATTTATCCAAAGAAACAAACTACTTTTAAAATACGTTAAATTAGAAGTTATTACGTGAGAAAAAAGTAATAATATTTTTCGCGTTTTCACTTTGACTCGCCAATTTAAACTCCATCAAATTATACCCAAACATAGTGCCCTCTTCAACTACTTCTTCCAGATTGTTATTATTTTGACCCTTTTAAACCCAATCTACTTTTGTTTATAAACTATTTCATCCTCTATCGTCAATAGGTTTCACTTCCATGTACACTGATGAATGGGCTTTAATGTTCTAAACCCGACGGTGGAATAGATTTAAAGTTCTCTTATTACCAACACAAAGACTGAATGGAACTGTTCTCTTGTGTTTTGTTTTCATTGGGGTCTATTATGAATGACGTCAAAGGCATGAGCTCTTGTTGACTGGTTTGAAATCTATGTATGCATGTATGTGTATGTGTGTGTGTGTGTGTGTATGTATGTATTTCACCATAATGCTTAAATAAAACTGATCAGCCTAATGCATACATATACATAGATAATAATACTTCAGGAGAACGTCATCCATTTTGAGTTAGTTAGGACCCAATATCTCTCTCTCTCTCTCTCTCTCCTACCAAATAACATGCCACCTAAACCAAATATTAAGAAAAGTCAACCATACTCCACAATGATTCCAGTTACTACCAAAAAAAACAAAAAAAAATACTTTATTAGTTAGTATTAAAATATAAACATACAATTAAATATAGTTCTTTATTATTGACGAGACGTTTTCACATGTTAAGTCTCATTCAGCCACTGACAAAAATGTTAAGTATATTTTCAGTATTATTAAGTACCAAACCTGAGAGAATATGATCGAAGTGTTGTGAAATATTTTATACGATCGTAGACTCTAATAAATTGGATTCCACTTTATTGTCCACGAAAAGATTGGAACCCGAAGTGGTTATTATAAATCTTATATTTCTTGATATTTAATCTAAAAAAAGAATAAACAGATCAATTAATATTCCTAAGTAAACTGATGCTCAAAATCTTTATCTTTAAAACAGTTTAGGAAATATTTTATTTTTTTCGTTAGAATAACAAATTGGAATCCCGTTTTCTATGTCCACTTTTTATGGTAAACCTGAGGAAAATTGTAGTTGTAGCTGAGCAGTATTAAAATAGTTCAAAAAAACTTTAATAATAAGACGTTCCTGGTCTCTGCTATATCGTTTTTTGCTATATGTTGATAGATTTTGTTTATAAATACATTAAGCGCTTTATCATATATTCATAGGATATGCATAGAGAATTACTTAGAAATTTTCATAAGCGTTTAGTGATTTTTACATCAATATTTAGAGTTCAACTTAAAATTCTAACGTTCAGTATTCGTCATTAATGTTGATAGATGAAAACACATCTTCAACTTTTTTATTAGCAAATTTAACACCAAAAATTTTAAGATTCAAAATTACGTAAAAAAAAAAGCAAAGTACAAAATTCCAGTATTAAATCAGTATAAATTTCTTAAAGAGTAAAGAAAGTGCTCCTCCAACTCGGGGTATTTTACTAATTTTCATAACGTGTAAATAAGTTTTCCATTACACCCAGGAAGCAAAAACTCCGTAAAATTATTTGACAAAAACCCACCGGAAGTATTTGTCTTGTGTTTACGTCATTTATTATTATTATTTTTTTGTCGGTGTCTCTTTGTAAGTTTACTTTATGTATCCTCAATGTTTTTTTCTTGTTTGTGTATTCCCGTTTTGTTGTACCTTTTTTGTCTCAGAATTAAACGTCCAATGAAAATGAAATAACAATTAACCCTTTTGTGTGTTACCTAAATGAAGAACAAGTTAAACACACACACACACACACACACACACACACACACACACACACACACACACACACATACACAAAGTCTCGGCTGAATTACCTTTTGGCAACCATCAGATTGTGGTGGAATTTCAGCCCGGGGATATAACAGGTATCAGGTGAGCTCACTGGTCATTAACCTGCCAAACACAAAGGTGACTGACTGTATATTTAAAAATTCATCTGTTTCATTATTTAAACATTAAAGATGTTTAATAGGGATACAATGTTAGACTCTATACTCAGGTAAGTGTAACTGGCTGTCAGGTATATTCAAAGCTAATTAATTGATAATTTTCTCTTATGACGTCACACCCAGAGGTCAAGAGGTCAGGAATTATGTATCTAGATTAATATTAAATGATTTTTCACTCCATAACTATGACTCAATTTTGTTTTTAGGTTTTATTTATTTCACGGAAGTACAAACACAAGAAGAGTTATTGTTTATTTAAAGATGCGAGTGTACTATGTCTGACATGTTGACCCACAGTTGTATTAAATTTATAAAGAGAAGCCAATATTTACGTGGGAGGGAACAGGAGAAAATGGTGAAGGAAGATAGAATATGGGATAGACT